TCACGGTTTGCTGAGCTCAGCTCCCCCAGCTTGAATCTCCAGTTTGCACTCGGAACGAATGAACGAGTCCCTCAGAGAGCACGCCGCAAAGAAACTCGGTAAGTCAACTTCGTGAAGATGGCAGCTCTCTCCCTCTGTCAACGCTGAGCCATCAGTCGGTCTTCTGATCCAGCATTGCAGAATGGGCTGAGCTGCCTGGCTTTGCTCGCCGAGCTCCTTTTCGTTCTCCCGTCCTGTCATCTTCGTTTTCCAGGTCAGAAGGAAAGATGGACTGCAGGAAAGACAAGCATCAGACGAGGATGATGATGATTATGACTGTCCTGGAGCACCGATTTATTAAAGCAGAAAGCTCTGGGTCAAAGGCGTTGAAGGAGCTCGGCAACTCCGTGCTATAGATGTACGACGGCAGCTTGACGAAGTAAGCGTCTAGGGTCCAGCCGATCCATGTCCATGTCCATGGCTGTACTTTTGACCGTCCGTACTTCTGCGTGGGAGATACCGTGCTCTGAAGCCATTCGCCTACTTCGAGTTTTGGCTCATTTACAACTTTCCGTACTCTCAAAATTTTTCCAACAACTTTCTAACGATCTTCTTCTTCAATTAAAATACTTTCCACGTTTACCTTTTCTCTTACCAACTCCAGATCTGACAAAAACGACCACAGAATCGGGGGCTTTCATGACTTACCCATAAGCCTCGAGGGCAATCCTGTAAAATGCTTTACGGCTCATGGGAGAAACAGTTATGGGTTCCTGATTTGGGTTACAGATCATTCCGAACACAACTCTGTCACTTCTGACATCTAGAATTATATTTTCTGGTCTCTCGGTGTTGAATTATAATAAGAAGCAGTTGTGGGGCCTTGAATCATTCCAGATACATTTTTTGTCACACTTTTTTCACATCCAGAGTTTTAGTTTTTGGTCTCCCAGTTTAAGAGTATAATAAGAAGAAGAATTTATATCATGGAGTTTTCCACATCTTTTATAGACCTGCTCGGTGTAGCGATGACCCACTGACCGTTCTCATGACTTGTTAGTCATGAGAACGGTCAGTGGGTTTCTATGGCAACTGTTGAATTCATGGCCATGACTGAAACCCCTATTCTCATGACAATGTCACATTGACTATCTGCGTATATTAGACATAGATTTCCCATGCCAATCACAATACACATTCGCAATGTCATGTCATTACACGTCTTCATGCCGTGCTCTCTCTCTCCCTCATTCTCTCTGCTAGAGTCTCGAGTCTAGTGGGCGAATAAACTTTGTCCATTCGAGTTTAGTACAATCAGAATCAGACACGCTCTCTGTGAAATTAGATTATGTTCGTTAGTCACACGGCGAACCAGTCTCTTCATGGTCCGAGCTGAGAGAGAATGCAAGTGGTAGTCAAATAAAACGGCCATGACTCCTATATGGTCTCCATCTAAGTCTTCAGTTGGTTGTAGATGCACCCCTTTGTCTTCAAGCAGCCGTCATGACAGTGCTGCGAATGTGCAATCAATCGTTCGCGATCTTTCATTCCTTCAGTTGTCTAAATTTGCACACTTCTGATTGAGTGTGTTTTGACAAATCTGTTCACTCTCCCTTATATATATTGTATCAAAATGTCTTATCAAACCGTCCTGTGCAGAAGCTTCTCAACACCATGCTCGGTACAACCTTCTTTCCCTGGTTCTGGATCTTGTGGCGAGGTACTGAAAATTACTGAGTGAAACTTACTAGATCGTGAAAATGATATGTACACACATTGGAGGCTTCTTCATTTATATATATATGATACATCATTTAGCAAATATTCAAATAAATTTAAACATTCAATCATACTTTTTACAGAAAAACTGACATAATAGTATTTCGTGATCTTTTTTTTTTTAAACCCTTTCTTTACATGGTCAATAAAACTTATATCATTTCTCGCTTATGTTGTTCAGAATGACTCATTGAAACCATCCTTTGCATCGTACCACCTTCTTTCCATGCCTCTTGTCTCGGGGTACTGTTTGAAATTGGGTGAGGCTTTTTAGGTTGTGAGGGAAAACATTACTTACAAATTATTAGTAATAATGGACGATGTAAATAAGTTATAAAGTAACGCCCATTATAAGTCATAATGAACGATGGTTTTAAGGAAAATTAGAATTATTTTCAATCATGCTCTCGAGCCATTCATACAGGCGCTGGACTTTAATGTCACCAATAAATATTCTCCCTTTCTTCATTCAGTGGGAATGATTGGAGTGCCAAGTCAATAAGCAAACGCGCTTTTTCAAAAGCACACGTGGAGACTACACGTCAAGGTGAACGATATATCGGTGGACCTCACTATCTTGTGCGGGTAATACGTCAGCAGTTCCTGAAAGTCCGTTCTTGAGATCGCTAAAGCCTTCACAGCCTGCCTCGTTGACATCAGCCTTCTCTCCACGCTTCCTGTCTTTCAAGCGTGCATGCAAATTTCACTGCGCTCGTTGAGTCTAACCCACGCCTATAGAAACATACATACGACAATTATGAGCATGACATGAATGCTCTAACTCACAAAGATTTGACAGAATGTGTTGGCAATCGGCCTCTGCAAATGCATGATGCACACTCTTTTCTGTTCACTGTTAGCGTATCTTATTTTGATGTTTGCAGTCTATCTAGCAACGAATACGCCGAAGGTCCTCGTAATTGATGTAAATGATGTGGTAGGTCACTACAATCTTAGATATTCACGCCCATTTCGAATTGTGGATTTCTCTAAATGTTTGGTGACTTATCTTATTAAACTGTTCAATTTAACTTTCAATAGATCCTATCAGGATTATGCATTATTTTAACTTTAATTTCATAGAATAGTTTTTCAAAAAATTTTTAATTTACCTTGAAACGCAGACTTTCCTATTTAAAAGATCATCATTTCATAGAGCCGTATAACTGTTGTAATAAAAATTAAAATAACAAACCAAAATTTCCAAATTTCAAGCTATTTGATAGATATTAGGAGAAAGGTTTTTTTAAATTGAAGTGTAATCTAAGTAATGTAATCATTTATCCTAATTCATAACTCAAGAGTCATTTTAAATCTTAAGTTTTGGGATATTTATTGAGAATTTTATTTGGTCAAATTATATCAAATAAAGTGTTGTCTCAACACAACGTTTCTATAGAAATTTGTAAAATACGTATTGTACATTTACTACTATAGAGCAAGAAAAAATCCCAAAAAAACGTAAACATGAAATTCAAGCAGAAATTGTTGGAAGCATAATGATGAGGTTATAGTAAATAGAAATAAGAAATTTTTTGATTTGAAAATTATGAAAATTTGACTATAAACTATGTGGATATCACATAATACTATCATTTTGTTTGTTTCAGACTGCTATTCATGCCCAATTACTTCATAATAATTTATACATATAATTTATTTAGCATAAATTCCAATTGAATTTTCTTTGACAGATTTGAGTGCAGAAATGGGTAAATTGGATCAATATCAATTTGAGTGAATATGAAGTGTTCAAAAAACTGATTGGAGTGCAGATATGGTGTATATTCAATATTCAATTTTAATTTTGTAAAATAATATTTTGAAAATAAGTATTTAAAATCCGATTTATACCATACATTTTGAAAAAAAATTGAAAATATTTTTGCGTGACAATCACATGATGCTTACAAATGTAAAAACGTGACTATTTTTGCGAAAATATGTCTATTTTTTTGACAAATCACTTTTTTGGCATCAAATAACAACTGAAGATACAAATTTGTTGAAATTCTTAAAATTCTTATTAGTATTAATCAAATGTTTGCTACTGTTATAATATTGGGAAAAAATATTTCTCCAAAAATAAATGTAACAGTATACTTGATATTCAAAATATCTATTGCTTCTAACTCGTACTTTGCTTTTTTACAACAATGTGAATATATATATATGTAAAACACGAACATAATAAGTGTTAGTTTCTTGTCATTTCGTATTGAAATATTTAAGATGTATGTATGTATATGTGGAGAATTGTAACCATTATACAATTTTTTTTTGGTATTCCAATCTTAATTACAATATTATACATACAATATATCTAGCTTTAAACTGGTCTACGATTATCAAACATATTAACGATCATTATTTTTTAACTATTAATTTATTGAATATATAGATGAAGAAGATCCGAGATTCTAAACTTTGAGATAAAATTGAATCACCTAAGAAACTGTTTATATATTAATTTACATATGATACAAATGATGTAAGCAAACTTGTCTATATGTTTATGAGGTAAAATCTGTGAGAATTTGGTACAAACATGTTTCTGTCATGGTAACGGCAGGTTACTAGTGCATACAACGACCACAAACAGTGGTTGTGGTAAAGAACGCGGCTTTTCCATCGAAAGGCAGTTGCAAATAATCATTCGTAGAACATCCAGTGGAGTCTAGCCCCGATACGAAAGTCTTCTCTTCTGATACACTCAATGCGCGCATGCACAATCTAACTCATGCCCTTCTTCTTCTTTTTTCTACCGTGTCCTCTTTCGTGCAATCTAACCGAATGGCCGGTACGTTATCTTACGGACCTGAGTCCAAAATAAGATTCAGGATCTGAAACCGCAGGCAGAAGGAACCGCCGGTTCCATACCGCTGAAGAATCTGTATACCCGACCCGAAGAGAGGACTTATCTTTGATGGACCTGGAACTTACTGAGTTATCCGGGACCTTACCCAGTTACTCCACGATGTCTACCCGGTAGGACGCAGGGCATCACAGGCACTATGCAAGCCAGAGTCACTGGAGCCAGAGCAATCAAGAAATCCCAACAAATGCTTAAATCAAAAGGGAATGATCGAATACTCTCTCTCTCTCTCTCTCTCTCTCTCTCTCGTGTGATGAATAACTATGTCTCGGAGTCACAGGACTACGAAGATGCAGAAAATAAATGAGTAACCAATGCAGCCGATTGAAAAAGTACCAAATGTGTCATGTATATTACTCCAGTTTAGGATTTTCAAACTCTTCGGATTTGATTAAAGGAATCGGCTTGACCTCAATCAAAGGCTGCTCGATTATATACATAGCACATGCCGAAAGATTCTGAGCTAGCTACCTGCTGGACTGGACTGGAGCAATTCTCCAGGGCTTAATGGTCTACGATTTTAATGTGGGATGGATGTAAGAGAAAACCTGAATCAGATGCCTGCTGCTAAACGGGCACTCAAAGTGATGGCTTCTGACGTTCACTCCATCGAAGGGTTGGATAAAGTAGAGTGGAGTATGGTTGTTGTACTGTCGTGTCGGTGGAATATGGGCCAAGCCGATCCTACTGGATCGAGTGTGTTAGAGAATTATTTGCACTGTTACCTTTTCTGTCTACCCTGTACTCCAACTCATGGTCGTACCCAGCCACCACAGGACAAACCCTGAGAGGAAAAATGGCTGGAAAGAATGGCTCTTCGCATGCTGTCACTTCGTCCTAGAAGCAGACGGACTATTTCCAGCACGGACTCGGCCTTCGTCTGCATCATCAACAGCATCTTGTGGTTGATATGGAACTACTCGTCAAGCAGCTGAAAAAATGGTCCTGAAATATGGAATTGTACAAGTGCACAGAAGCTCACTTGCAGATCCGTTTCACCAGGTGGAATGGAGCTCTCTTCTGACTCCAATGAAACCTCTACAATCGAATCGGAGGCGATCCCCATGGGAGGATCAGGCTGTGCATCCCATTCCATCTCTCCCTTTTAAGAGCACGGCATCCGGTGCTTGGAGAGTTCTCCATCAATGACCAGTCTGTGTCTCCCAATGCACAGTAGCTTGATGAAGAGCGTGTGGAACAGTTGAAGGACCAGCTTCATGGAGATGCTTCCAAAAGACAGAACTGGGCAGGGAGCAAGTTGACAGGCTTGGCCTGGTTTACCGAGAGAGGAATACATTGACAAATTAGTTGTAGTCCTCACTGATGGGGTTCTCGAATGGCAACGGTACGGTTTTGGTGGCCCGGTACTTTCCGACATTATTGAGATGCTCGTTCTCCAACCTGTTCACAAGCGAACTCAAATGTCATGTCAGTCTCAAATCGTAAGATCCAGGAACGGTATAATGCACAGACATACACACCACTATGCCGTATCTCCGGAAATTTCACCGACTATGACAAAGAAACTTCCATAATGGATAATAAAACGTACGACAAGGAACGTGTAATGCATGAGAAGAAAATGAGGATTTTGTCTGCACAGTTTGGAAGAAACGCCTAGCAATGAGCATCTACTGTGGCTTATATCACTGTTGTCGAGACAGGAGCAGAACCGAAGAGTATCACTCGCAGAAGGATGAACTCACCGGAAGAAGTTCCAGATTCCTCTTCGAATAACCTCCAAAGAGGCAAAGAAGAAATCTGCGACAAAGAGATCCATCTGGCCAAACCGGAAGCGCGTAATAGACTGGACCCATGCCAGTCTGAGGATTACATTAGAAATCTGCGAACATATTGCATGAAGAAATGAGATGGTTGCTTCCATTTTCCTTCATTTCTGAAGCTGTATCTATCCATGATACTCTTGAGGTCTATAATTTCATCAGCAGTGGTTGAGAAGAACTTGCTGAGAAGAGCATAAACGTTTCTTTGAGACAGCGAGCGAGGTTGAAACTATGAGATCCAGGCTTGCTTACCATCGCTAAGTAGTATATGTACTTTGACCTCGGCATGATCAAGTTGTCTCGCAGCCATTTGTTCTTCGATTTACTTCTCAGAAGACCCCAATCGACAACGATATCCCAGTAAATCTGGAAGGCTGTGGCGAAGATTGACGACAAAACGAGCAACACGACCCAGAGAAATGAAGTACTCCTGGACTGTTGGATTCTGATACCCACTGCGACCATGGCTGACAAGTACTTGCCAGCATTCTGAAACTGATGGAAGTCATGCTCCTCAAAATACCTCCTTAAACACTGCAAGTGCAACCAACGAGAACGAGTTATTTTCTAACTTTATCATCTCAAAATTTTATTCCTCAACAACTAGAACGGCGTCAATTGGCATTTAATTGTCAAATGGCTCACACGTTCCCAATCTGCTTATTTGGAAGTATTGCACAGATCCTATGGATGGTCAGCTCAACAGTTTTATTATTACAGATACAAAAGTATATGACACGACTCCTATTCTCAAAAACAACAGCTCAGACTGAAAACTCACTTGGAGGAGACGCCACCAGTAAGGAAGCAGAGATACGAAGTAAACAAACCCCCTGAATGTTTCATCTAGAATGCAGCCGTCAGCGTTGGATGTTTTGAAGTAACTCGTGGAGTAATAGCAGATAAGATACTGCAAGTTTCTCAACATAGGCACCTGCATAGCAAAGCGAGGGAATTCCGAGTCAGTGATCCACAAGGGGACACGTAGAATTTGAAGGAAACAGATTTATATTGGTGGGAATATTATCATAGATTCAAACCAGCAAACTCCAATCGATGAGCACCATTTGTTTAGATTGGAAGAGATAATTATTTATTTCGTAGCATGTTACACTGACGAACACTTGGCAAAAATAGCATACCTGACTTGTAAGTTGATCCCCGAGGAAGAAATCTTGCAGGACCACCTACAAACAAACATATTTTCTTCTATTAGGAGATACTTTTTTTAATAAGCAAATAGAAGTTGATGCTTCTTTCTCCGACTGAAAATGAAGCTTCTCATCATTCCAGACATGTCTACGAACAGATGAGTAAATCTCATCACACCCTACATTCGTATGAGCGAATCGATTTTAACGCTTGGCTTGGCAAGGTTTGAAAGAAAGGTCCATCCATACCTTATACAAAGGAGACAATGCCAAATGGATGAAGCATATGATGAGGAACTTTCGGCTCGATGAGAAGAAGCAGTTTAGAGGGAAAAAGAGCAAAATAACCAGAATCTGGACAAGACAAACGAACACCACATGTCAATTGTAAGCAATTCCTTCAACTTGCATCCTCGACTGCGACTCCCTGGATGAACAGAACGAAAGAATCAGCTCTGAAGGCTTGTGACTACAAACATACATATTTTCTATTGTGCTTACAATACTTGGAAGGTGGTGAAATTGAGGACATCACGAGTAAATCTAATAGGATTAAAATCAAACCTAGTCATACACCAACTGACAAATCTCCGAAGAGTTTATACCGACAGAAGTGAAGACTCACCATGAAAACACCCAAGGGGAGTAAGTCTACATAAGGCGAATCGGTAACGCTGTGCAGAGCCACTTGGCCAACCATGGCCGCCAACAGAATTGTCATGAGGACAGTCCCTAACATGAGAATTTCACGATGCCGAAGCTCTGATCCTTGCTTGAAGTCGAACATAAATGCGTAATTTATTTTCCACTTCCGCCAATAAAATACATTAAACCCGTACATTATCATGTGAATAATAATGAGCGCCGACGCACTGTCAAATAGAAAACCTGTCAGCAACCATCAGAGGGCACGGTTCCTAGCATTCCAACACCGAACAGAACGTACTACAGATTGTTGTCTTAGTCTTCGGAAAGTTTTTGAGGAGAGGCAAGCCATGAATCTTCGCAGCAGATGCCTCAAAAGTAGTTTGTATGATATTCACTAATTAGTCAAGCTTCAAACAAAAGCCAGTTCTACACAATTTCAACAGACACTTACTGACTTAACTGCACTTACGCAAAAAGTGGGAAAATTGTCTTTAGATATATGCTTTCAGGTCCCCCAGCGTGTGCAGGAGAAGGTGGAAGTGATTCGTCGATTGGTGCGATGTAGCGCGGGAGCACGCTGTTCAGAAGGGTGGAATATACCGACAGTAAAGCTAGTGAACCTCCAGTGAATAACCCTGCAGCAGTTGCAACCGAAGTGAGACATGTGAGTAAGACCGGATGAGCTTAGGTTTATGGAAATTGTGATGTAGAACTCCTGTGCTGAATCCAGCCCGGCGTTAATCGCCCACGAGGTGACGAGTTTCATTGCTTTCAAAGGTTAAATTTTCATCAGATGAGCTCTAAATATTTGAGATAGCGAATTGACTGTCTACTGTAAAAACGACGTATGAAGCGATTTGACTGGGAACTCACCGAGGAAAAACGTGATTTTATGCGACGCTGATTTCTCAGCCGGTCTCAAGAGAAGTCTGGCCTTGGAATAGTTGCTCTTGGCAAAAGTCTTGGCGAACAATGTTTCCGTCTTCTCGATCAACCTAATTACCTGAAACAGGACGAGGCTCAGTGTCACAATTTGAGCGCGAAAGTGAACACAAAGTCAAGAGGTAACTCATCACCAACTTACTACACAGTTATAAGTAAGCATGCGTACTCCCACGTGCAAGTGGAGGGATTACCTTCTCAGATGTGTTGAAGTGAGCGTGTTCCACGGCCTTAACGTATATAGACAGGGTCCGGTATCCAGAAGCCTGCATTGACATCGATGCGCTTCTTTCAGTCTCCGACTTCGACCTTAGTGGGGGAGGCATTCATGAATATACCAGTATTTTTAACATCAAATCGATTCCTCTTTCAGCAAATTTCCCAAAACCTCAGGTCCGAAACTACTCTCCACCAGCTCGAGACTCCTTACCTTGTCGAACTTCTTCACGATCTTGGCGAAGGCAACCATGTTCAGTGAGCTGAAAAAGAGGACGGAGTTTAGTCAGTGACAGGAGGCTCTGATGAAATAAACAGTTGAAAGATCACGCGGCTCAAAATCCGACGACACCAACCGCACGAAGGCAGCTTGGCAATTGAGAGAGAAACAGAGCCCATGCATGTAACAAGTACCTGTAAGCCTTGAGCAAAGTAAGCCCCCTGTAGAACTCGATGAAGGCGCTCTGGAGCATCTTTTCTGCTATGCCCACGTTCTTCTTATTCACGGCGAATTGGCTCTCACCGCCCCTCTTACTGTCAGAGCTACCATGTCTGCTAAGACCCTGCTTTTGCAAATCTTCCAAGAGACTCTGAATCAAGGACTTGATTGTGGTGCTGGGCGTGCTCTTGGGGAGGTTCAGACGCAACTGAGGCTTCGACGAGTCGGTGCCATCCGAGCGTGACGAAGCTCCCGCATTCCTGTTCGACTCGAGCTCGCTCATTTCGATAGTCGTCGCTGCCGGTTGCGGTGGGCCGGCCTCGGGGTGAGCAGGCCTGCTGCTCATGGGGCCATAAACTTTGATGTAATTATCACTGTCACTATCCAGCTTCACTTCCCCGATTTTCCCATCCCTCGCAACATCTGCCACATCGATTCCGGAAGTCAGGCTCTGCGTATGGACAATAAACGAACTTCTTACGTGCAAATCTCGATCCTAATCACGAGGGGGATGTAGTAACGTACTCAGAGTCGGAAGGGACTGAACTTTGGAGAACATGATCGCCCGGCGCTTTTGTGCCTCTTCCACAGCTTCGGCGATCGTTTGAGGTCGGTCGCTGAGAGCATTGGAGCCATTGGGGCCATTGGAGTCGTCGCTGAGCTGCGACTGAGGATTTGCAAGCTCCTTACGGATCTCCTCCAGAGCTTGCAATTGCTCCTTGAGCTTCTGGTACTGCTGCAGAAACTCTTTCTCCTTGGCCCTGTAGAACGTGTTCACCTTGTTGAACTCTGAGTCCAATCGGGCGAAGAAGATCCTCGTCGTCGCGTCCTCGTTCACGAAACTGTCATTGAACAGCGTCGTGTACACCTCGCTTCCCCCATCTGGTGCATCCCTCTTAACCTGCCAGTCGAAGAACACCATCCAGTTAGTCAGTCAGCCACACTCAAAACCCTGAGCACCCCATTCGATCCTCCAATCCTCCAGTCCCTCAGCGGAATCATGCCTCTCCATCAGCATCAGCTGGACAATGAAAACCTTCACTCGGGTCAGCTGCTGAGCTACTCCTGTTCATGATTATCCCCCTCACACCTGGACCTCCCTGATCCCTCGCGATTCTGACAAGATTCTGCAAGACGAGGCAGCGCCTTCCGAGTTCAGAGGATCACAAGCAAGTGCGAGACAGATCGTCGGGCTTCAGATGGAGCTGTTCAGGAAGAGGCCACTGATCAGCGACGAGCTCCTCTACTGAGATGCGGCAGCAGCTCCACTCGACTGAGCTCGAGATGTACGAGGATCGAACAGCGGGCACGCACACATTCAAGCATTCACGCATTCAGGCATTCATACGAGGAATCGTGTGAACTTGGTGAGAGAGAGCTCCGTACTGTGATGAGATCCTTGTTGGGTTTGAATTTGCTGCTGGGTCGGGACTTGAGGGCATCGGCAGCTTGGCCGGTGACGGCCACGATGGTTTTGAAGGACTCGTGCATTCGGGACAGGCGACGGGTCGCCTGGCGGGGCTGTGGACGAGCCGGGTGAGGCAAGGGGCCGCTCACAGGGCCCGAGTACTTGGGCGTCATCGGCGACAAGGGCACGGACTGCCATTTGTCCGGCACCTGCGGAGCCTCCACCTTCGACCGCTTCACGGCCTTGATGTCCTTCTTCAGCAGCCGGTAATCGCAGTACGCGCTTCGCCATTCCTGCACCAGCTGCGCTTCCAGCTGCTTCGAAAACTTCACCATCTCCTGCTACTTTCTACTCACTTGCGCAACAAAAATCTGATCATCCAACTCCGATTCACAAAAATTCCAATCTAATCCAATCCCGCCCCCTCAATGTAATCCACCCTCGCCTCTCCGCCGAATCACTAACCGACCGAGGCACCTTCGAGCTACGAGCAACTCTCTCAAAATCTGCAGCAGTTGCTGAAATCCTGTATGCCAATCTCTAGTCTCTGTAACCTCGAGCCTCTCACTCCAACACGAACCAAAAATGGAATAAAAACCTGGAAACAAAATTTGAATTTTCACACGAGATTTTCGCCGAGAGAGTGCAGCCTGCAACGAGGCACGGGGATGAGATGCGAGGCGTGAGTTCAGCTGCTCTAGGTCCAGCTGCGTGTCTCGGAGGGAGACGGTATCCACAAACTACTGATCGAGAGGAATGTGGCTGGCGGATGCGAACTCTGATCTTTTGAACATTTTCCGCGTCCTCGCAGGGACGACGAAGTCGGTTGCAACAAAAGGACGAATGCCTGGAGAGCCCAGCCCGGGCTGAACACCCGCGAGCGAGCGTGGGAGTTCGTGGCCGCGGGTCGTTTTTATTGGATTTCGCTCTCGATCACTCGAACGGCAGCGACGGGCACTTCGGCATTCGGGACCGACTGCGTGCTTTTGGTGGAAGAAGCCCAAGAGCATTTCCCTGGCCTCTGCTGGGCTAATCACGAGCATTGAGCCTCTGACATTCCTCGCCTTTAATAGCGCCTTCGAGCTCACCGGAGTAACGACTTTTGTGCACACTGGACGACGGAGGAAGGAGCCGGGGCGGGGAACTTTCCTACCCGCCCCCGGCAAGCCTCCGGTTCCAGTTCGGGGCCGGTGACGGGTGACCGGAGACCGGTGAAGATGCTCGGTCGGACAGCCTTCCCGCCCGCCCGCCCCCGGCTCAGCCGGGACGATTCCCAGGAGTACAGAATGTGGAACACAAATGTACGTTGCGAATGAATCCTGTGTCGTTTTCTTCGTCCCCGTCCGATTCGCTGCAGTGTCCGAGTTCCTTCGTTCCGACGGCCTTTCGCTCCATGACCGACAGTGGACCCGGTCATCGACCACTCGAAGTGCAAGACCCAGCCCGGTTCGCCCGGCTGGCTGCACGTTCAACCGGCTCGCGGATCGCTCCTCTCTGTACTGTACTGTACCTTGCCCTTTCGCCCTTTCTGTCTCACCTTTTTGGATCCCGACCAGAGCCGTCCGCCAGGTGGGGTCCGACTGCCTTGCTGGCGTTCAGCTGAAGAGAATCGCAGTTGCCCTCTTGAACGGCTGGAATTCTCCCTCAGAAGAAGGGGCGCCGATGACGTACAGTACCGGGTTCGGACGGAAGGAATTTGTTCTTCTCTGCGTACGTGGTTAATTTCTTGACCGTGGTTGATGTAACTGCAGTAGGTGCGTGGCATAGATGGAGACGGGAAAATCGAAATCAGTGGCCGGGTACCAGCCGCCTCGCGGTGGAAGCCTCGTGGCTTACAGGTGCGTCAGGCTGTAGGCTGTACTGGACCTACTGTCCATGACTGGATATAGTCACTACTTCGGGCACATGGGAAGCTGTACAACTCGAGCAACTGTACCACTTAGCTTCGTCCCAGGAGCATCGCAACTCCAGATAAACAGGACTGGATAATAGACGATGATGTATCCATTGTCGACGAGAGACAATATTGTCAATACGACAATAAAAAGTGGGGAATGTTAAAAATAACGCACAAATTTGTAAAACGAGCACACGTTCTGCTAGATCGCATTGCTTTGAAACTTTGTTGAAGGGTTAGACCGAAATTGGACTATAACATCCTTGTATAACAACTGATTGTATTGGTGATTGACTCGGATATCATCAAAACTCTCTTGTGCTTCCATTTACTTGATTCCGTTCTCAAAGTCATATGAAAGTCGGATTTGAACACCTCGGAGGTCTTTTGTCTAGACTCTGAGGTATTGTTTGACCATCGACTGCTGCCCCTCTGCTCTCCATGAGTTTACATTCCCCAGATGCTTGTGTTGATTTCTCCATGCTGCGACAAAACGCTCCTTGCGCACAATCTATCGTGTTTGTTGATACTGAAGCATGGCCGTGATCTGAAGGAGTGTGGTCGTTTTAACATTCCTTAAAAAAGTAACCAGTCATGTCGGGAGAAATACGGGAATACGAAAGACAATAGGGAACGAATGAGGTGGACATCACAATGGTAAATAATTGTAATTCCATCTAATGCACAAACTTCCGGACAATATGATTGAAATTATGTCAAAGCTTTATTTGACTATGCTATTTTGAATAGCATTCGAGTCTTATCTATATTAAAAAACTACCCAGAACTTAAAAGTGGATTATAACTAATAACACCTAAAAGCACAGGGTAAAACCGAAGAGGAACAAGGAAGCAACCTTTTTAGATAAGATTGTGGATCTCCACAGCCAAAAAAAAAGGTGTTATTGTGAGCAGAATTTTCCGAGTGAGGGATTAGAACAAGCACAGCCAACTTCAGAAGTTATCCACTAGCAAAAGATCACACCTAAGAATACCAAGGTACCAACCCTTTGAAATAGGATCTCGAGGTAGTATCTTCGAAAGAAAAAGTAAAGATTGATTTATGAGACTTTCTGAGTAGGGACTAGAATTTAAAATTCACGTACGTTTTTTCATTTTCGGGCCCTTTGTTGGATCGGCATCCTTTCTCACAGCAGTCCATAGGCAAAAAGTATATCATGATGAAAAATAAACTTCGGTGGTTTCGTGTAGATTAAAGTACGTTTAGTTGTATTTTCCGTTTAGATACAATGAGGCTCACTCTCTTCAGATCATTTACTTAAATCACTGAATATTGCTCGATACAGATCAAGCTCGTATACGATGAAGACATTTTTTCAACCAACTCGGATGTCCAAGGAAGCTTCCAGCTCTTGTGGGAAGATATGATTGTTGATTCAGGGTTGGGCTCCCTCATCGTCGTGGGCCCCGGCCTGGTGAGTTGTTCATGCTCCGCTCGTTTGGCTCCTGCAGGAATTGCTTTTGCATCCGTCAATGATTAAATGCCATATGTCCTTTCCCTCACTTGATAGCCTTGTGCCCTCTCGAGTTCATGCGCCTCCTGTTTCTTCCACGTTTTTCCCAAACTGCACGGTGCTCAAAGAAATTTCCCCCGAAGCACAATAAGCCATACCCAGAAATATTATATCAATTAGTTAAATATTAACTATGAAAAATAAAACATATAATTATAAATATTACAACTGACAAGGTTTTACTGCGATAAAGTCCACCACGGAAGAGAACACTCGTTTGCATCCACTCTGCAAATTTAATTATTTTCAGGGTCTCGACTGAAAAGGGGCAGATCACAGGGCTTGACTGTATGGCCCACTGCTGAGAGAATATTTGCCGTGTTGCTATTTGCTGGATACTCGAAATGCTTCTAATGGCTTGCCTTATCTCGCTGAAGATACAGTCCCTTCTTGATACAATGTAGACTTCAACTCGGTAGATCCCTTAGATCTTTCGAGATTCTTAACGGAGACTCGACTCTGGATTCCAAACCGTAAACTGAATCACCGACTTTCCTTCACTGAAGATTCAGGACACTCCCTTCAAGTCGGCGGCGTTCTGCTGGGACCTACAGCACTCCACGGCAGTCGGTTCGCGAACTGCAGAACCCCGTGACGGTCTACGCCCCCGTACACTACGTCCTTTCGTACAACCGGCCAACTGCGGTCAACCTTTTCCTCACCCGCGACTTGAGGGACCCTCTATACAGAACGTACTGTGAGGAAGATCCGTACGGGATCCGAAAGGGATTGAGGAACGGCCTCCGGGCGGGTCCGACATGGAACCAGCAGATCGAGCAGTATTAATCGGGGGCGCGGAAATAGATATTGTCGTCGCGCTACCCGCGATCTGTCATTGGATGGATTCCCGTTTCGTGGTTGGTGGCACGAGAGAACAGAACTGAACTTTGCTTTAAAGTAGCGCGATGTCTCCCTCGACGGCAATGGCCTCGTCCTGCATTTAGAGTGACCTCGGACTAGTTTTCAGTCAACGTGCTTGACTCACCGGCGGGCTGTACCAGGTCGGAGCCTCAGAATTAAACCTGTGGTTATGTGATACGTGGTGAGTGGGAACCATAGCCTCCACCATTATTTCTATGGGGTATTCAGAAGGATGGGAATCTTATTGACTACGATGATAAACCAGTTGTATAACATGCAGCATGTTATACAACTAATTCAAGTTGTATTGAGTCTAACTTATCTAAAAATCTATAAAGGTATTGTCCACGTACACTAACATCCGAAGAATAATCACAACTTCGTTAGATTTCTCTCTCGTTTACATTCTGATAGGAGAAAAATATCGCTTTGAATGAGGTATTATAAACATGTCATCTGATATTTAATAAAAGGTTCTCATATAATCTTGCAGATATAGTAAAATTTCTTTTCCCTAACTACTCTAAATGGTAGAAGAACAAATTCTTCTGCAAAGTTTTCTATTTAAAATTTTTGGCTACTATAGTCGTTGAATTTCATGAAGATGGACAACAAGAAGCCTTAAAATGGTGTCAAGTGTACAATCCATCACCACCGATAGCCTAGTTTTTTCTAAAAATGTATAAATCTGCCAGACTATAATTGATGACAAAGTATACTATTATCTATCATTACGTCATTTAGTAATCAAATTTGCAATTTTATAATGAAAATTGAAATCCAATGATCATAGCTAATTATATCCAGATTATTTTTAACAAGATATTACCCTAAGAGGTAGGAAGAACTAATTGTGATGGCCTGACTTATTATCCCCGCTGTAGGAATCCACGCATGATGCCATCCATTCCATTTTTACGCAACATTAGCTTCCTTCATGTACTCGCGATGTCATGTCCTCTCATGAGACTCAAGGAGATCTGATGCGACCACACCCAACATTGTTTTGGCGGTACGTAATATCTAAAGACAGTCCCCCACCACGAGACTAGTAACAACCAAAAGCAAACCTCTCACTGGTATGATAAGTTAATAAACAATAGTATCTCTAAGAGATCTGAATTTGGCTCTTCGGTAAGAAATGCGACTGCTACAGCTTACGAATTAGTAGACCAAGCCCACATCTCTCCCTCTAAATGTCCAACAGGCTTACCGCACGCGAGGGTCGCGGGTTGGTTTCCTCTCTTTTCGCTCGCCATCTGTCCCTCTCTGCTTCTACAGGAAGAGATCACTTCGTCGTCGTGACTGGGATAGCAGACATTCTGCACATCCGTAACAGAACGTGATCCGAGGTGACGAAGAAACCGAACTGTTGACCGGGACGCTCGAGATCTCTTTCGACCAAGTTCCAGCCAAAGGAGCGGAACCACGAGACAATCGGGAACCTCCTTGTCACGGAAGTCCGGACAATTCGATTTTGAGTTGGTCGAGATCTTCAGTAATGTACAGTTCGGTCAGCATGTTCCGCGTTACGTGCAGGCCAGGGGATGGATCTCGACGAAGACCACCGCGGTCGCCGTCCGGTGTCAGCCTGTGTTGAATCCTTGGATCTCGGTTACCCTCTCGTATCTTCCTTGAACAGATCGATGGCTCTTCCCGTCATTTTCCCATTTGCAGCCGTCTGACACACTGTGATTGTGATTGAGATAATTCGGAACTGATTGAGGACCCAAAGG